ACAGATGTGATTTTAAATCGGTTTAAAAGAGGAAGGGGGTCTTAGAGCTGCAGCGTGCATCTGCTATTTCAGTGCAACTGTTATATCTGTCTGCTCCCGCACCAGGCTAAGGGAGCTAAGCTGCTGCCTCACTAACCCTGAAGGAGCAGGTCTAATGTAATGTGCTCCTTAGATGGGAGTGGGTAGATGGGAAGGTGCACTGGAACAGCTTGTACCAGTTTACTGGAAACCGCTATAAATGCTTTGTCTGTCCACAGCCTCTGAGAGGCCAGATGCATGGGTTACCTTCATGCCAGCTGACATAAACCTAAGCCCCTAGTGCAGAAGCCTTTCTGTAGGCTTGGGGGTGGCAATGCCACCCCTTCTCCATGGCTAAGGAGCTTTCACTGTAGCTCCAACATCTTCTTGGGTCTTCTGTAGTCACCTGGTAGCTAGCTCTGGAGCAAGAATGCACACGCACCTCCACCCCACCGTAAGACAGGAAAGATGGAGAACCACCCAGCTGGTTACTGAGAAATGGTTTCAGCTGAAACAGGGAGGGTCAACACTAAAAGATTCACAACAGGAAACCTTTCTTGAACAACAGGAAGCCATCACTGCTATCCTGATGCCTGCTATTTCACAACCGTTCACTGCTTGTCTTCTGTCTTTCGCAGAATTACAGGCTCCTGGTTCTGGTCTTTGATCCAGCAGGAAGCACTCGACTTGGGCCCAGTTCTGGTCCATCCCTCTGTCTGCAGGTGCCAGTAAGAGCAGCTCTTTCTCTGCTCCATCACAGGCCATCGCAGGCCACTGCCAGCGCTAACCCTGGTCGCTGCTTCTCCGTAGGCTGCTCCTCCTCCAAAGTTGCCTGGTCTAGTGCAAAGCCACTTGTCCACTCCCTCTCTGCCCTCATGGAGATCCCTGCGGCCAACTTTTTCCTGGCTTCCAGCATGGACTCGTGCCTGCAGCTGGTCGCCCAGAAGAACATCAACATCATCCTGCAGCATTACAACTACACTGGGAGGCTGAGCCACCGGCGGTCCCAGGGGGACGGGATGAGCCTTGTCAGCATCCTCGTCATCGTCGTCAGCTGCCTCATCGTGATGGAGAACCTGCTGGTGCTGCTGGCCATGTGGAGCATGCGCACCCGCCGCTGGGTCTACTCCTGCATCGCCAGCATCACGGTGAGCGACCTGCTGGCAGGAGTGGCCTACGTCTTCAACCTCTGCCTGTCGGGCAGGAAGACCTTCCAGCTCTCACCCCAGCTGTGGTTCCTTCGGGAGGGCATCCTCTTCATCGCCCTGGCTGCCTCCATCTTCAGCCTGTTGGTGACGGCCATCGAGCGGTACAGCACCATGGTGCGGCCCATCGCCGAGAGCGAGAGCACCAAGGCCATGCGCTTGCGAGGCTTCATCGTCTCCTTCTGGCTCCTGGCCATCCTCATCGGGCTCTTGCCTCTGTTGGGCTGGAACTGCCTGTGCGACTTCGACAGCTGCTCCACCCTGCTGCCCCTCTACTCCAAGAAATACGTCATCATCTGCGTCTTCGTGTTCAGCATCATCCTGATAGGCATCGTGGGCCTCTACGTTGCCATCTACCGCCTGGTGCGGGCGGCCTCCATCACCCGCCACAGCAACGTGCGCTCCCTGCGGCTCCTCAAGACCGTCTTGATCATCCTGGGTGCCTTCATCTTCTGCTGGAGCCCGCTCTTTGCCTTGCTGCTCATTGACGCCTTCTGCAAGCCCCAGGCGTGCAAGCATCCCTACCCGCTGGACTTCGCCTTGGCCATGGCTGTGCTCAACTCAGCCATCAACCCCATCATCTACTCCTTTCGCAGCGCGGACGTGCGCCAGGCCATCGTGGGCCTGCTGTGCTGCTGCTGCATCCGCCTGGGGCTCCGCGGGCCCGGAGACTGCTTGGTCGTCCCCAACATCCACTCGGGCTCCTCCACCGAGAGCTCCCTGCGCTGTCGCGACAGCTTCCGCAGCCCCGTCATATCGAGCCCTCGCCCGCGGGCGCCTCTCTCCAGCAACTCCAGCATGCTGAGCAACCCCTCCAGCATCTGAGGGGGCTTCACCGAAGGGACGTGACTCGCTCCCGGCTCTGGACTTGCCATGCTTGACCCGGGGGTGGAAAAGAGACAGGCGGGGACTGAGGCAGTGGGATTGAGTCTGTAGGAATGACATCCCACGGCTCAGGCTGGGCTCTGCCCCAGGAGGACATGGGAAGCGAACACGTGATTGACCCAGCTGACATGCTTGAGACCACCTTGTACTGGCAAAGGCAGGGCCTGCCCACAATTGGGGGGCGGGCATTGCCCCGGGGTGTGTGACGTGCCTGCATTTATGGAGCTGGCAGGGCTCCAGGGTGATTGCTGTGCTTGGGGTTGGGGGCGAGCTGTTATGCGGTTGGATATATGCAGTGCCCCTGGCTATGAGGTTTCATAACAGGCTGGCCTGTCCCTTTAAGAGGGGGCAGCCAGCCCTGTTGAGCAAAATGCCCTCTGTAGGGGCTGTGCAAAGGCCAGAGGCACACAAGGGACGCCTGCCAGTGTCCGAAACAACACAACCAGGTTGCGTGTGTGTGCTTGCTTTATTTCAGGACTCTTGTTTTCTAGATGAGGACTGGCTGAGGAGCTCGGGGAGCTAGGACCTGCCTGGAAAAGCCCACGTGCAAGGCAACCCGCTTACACACACACGGGCATTGCACCACGGTGCATCCTGTGTCCATGGTTGGAGAGGTGCCTGGGGTGGGGGGTGGGGAATAGCACGTTTTCTCCCTTGAAACATCTGCTTTTTTATTTCCCCCCAAAACCAGCTGCTGGAAATTGTGGTGCGCCTCATAAGTGAGGAAATATGGTAACAGCGGTTTGGGCTGCCTGAGCTTCTGCAGGGTGAAAGCAAAAATCACTCGACACCTGATCCGCAGAACAAGGGGCAGGCTCTGCTCCCCGCCTCTTGTAAGGAAAGATCTTTTTTTAAATTCCTTCTGCCTCTCAGAAACAAGGTGCGTGTCTTATTCTGGGGCGTGTTGCATGCAAGGAAATACGGTAGATGCTCTGCCTGCCGCCCCGGGGTGGGCACAGCTGTCTGGGGACTGGGCATGAATAGCAGGGACGGGGCACTAGGCTGGCACGCTTGGGCCGGATGCCGCACCAGTATCCTGTGGTTAGACAGCGTGAGCTGCAGCTGCCAGACAGATGCAGCTGGGGCATGGAGGGGGTAGGGAGCCATCGAGCTACCCCAGTCTGTTCCCCAGACCTCTGTACCAGGGGATATGGTGTGTCTGCTTTGGCTGCGGGGAGTTACAACCCCCGTGCCGTACTGGAGCAGGCGCCGTGCCAGCCTGAATGGGCTGTCTACGGTGAATCGCAGGCCAGCTGCACCTCTGTGCCCTGGGGCCTGGCAAAGCTGCGGTGTGGGACAGGGAGTGTCCCATCACAGGAGGCATCGCGGGGCCGGGCATGATGCACAGGGCGGGGGGAGCAGGGGCTTCGGGGACACCTCTGGATCAGGGCCACGGGAAGGAAGCAGGCTCCATTTCCTCTTCCCTTCCCGTCAGGCGTAGAGGCATTGCGGCTTTCCAGGAACCTTTGGAGAACAGGGTTTTGCAACATGGAGCTTTGCGAAAATCAGTGCAATCGCCCAGCTCCGAGTCGAGCCCAAGGCTGGGAGAGGGGTAGGTGCCATGTGCTCCGTCAAGGGGGCAGCGTAGCCCTATCCTACACAAGGGCAAGGCTAGGAGCGAACCCCCCAGCCTCCTGACTCCCAGGGTTTGGCCCCCATGTCCACACCCCTCTCTCCAGAGCAGGAGATGCCCTCTAGGGTGAGGGCAGCTGCCCACATCCCATTAGGACCCGGCCGTGGCTTCACAATGTAGCAGGACACAGCGATGCAGTGACGGGCTTGAGCAGACATTGGGCACAGCTGAGCGGTTATGACGGGGCGGGCGCAGGTGGGCATCGGTGCCGGAAAGACAGGGTGGCACGGGCAGGGCAGGATGGACTGCGGTGGGTACAGCTGTGCTGGGTAGTACCGGAAGGGATGTTGGGGGTCATGGTGCCAAGCAGACACGGGGCACACGGTGGGGATTCGCCCATGGCTCGCAGCGAGGCAGGGGGTGTCCCATGGTGGAGGAGGGAAACGCGGATCTAATGCAAGCGAGTGCTTTTGTGGGCGGCTGTCCCCATCATCCCTGCCCACGACCAGGGTACAGGCCGTCCTGGGAACTGTTCCGGTCTCTTGCTCGCTCTTGCTTTCCCTTCCCCGCTGTGAAAAGAGGAAGCTAAACTCCTAACCCCACTGAGGGCATCGTGCCTACCCAAAATAGCACAGCCCCCAGGGGCCCTGCCTTACCTCTGGGCTGCATGAGCACACGGGGCTGAGCCTGGCGCCCGGGGGGGCCCCGAATGTTGTGGGGTCTGCAATGAACCTTTCCAGCAGAGCCTCATGCTCTGGCCCTGTCTGCATTCATGCTCCTCCTGGGAACCGAGGGGGGCTTTCTCCCGGGGCAGTGGAGATGCAGTCAGCTGGGGATAGGGGCCAGCCGTGTCCCGGAGGAGGGAACCCCAGCCAGCCCTCCTCTGAGTCCCAACCCTGCCAGCTTCAGCTCTGCAGCCTGGGCTCCAGCCAGGGTTGTGCGGGGGCATCACGACCCTGAGAGCGTTGCATGAGGCGGGGTGAATGGAGGAGCAGGCCTCACTCCCTCTGCCCTCATTTTTTTTTTTTTTTGCAAAAATATTGAATTCCACACCTACCTCCAACGCTGCCCAGCGGCCTCCGCGGCTCACTTGGCAGATCAAAGCACACCGAAAACCCGTTACACAGTTTGCACCGCGTATCTGCACACCCATCTCCATACCCGCACCTCCACCCACTGCCCTACACCCCCTCACACACACTCCATGGAGGGGCTGTGGCACGGGAGTCTCTTCCCAAAGCAGCGGGACGTGGAGCCCTGTCCTCTGAGAAGCAGCGGGAACAGCCCCTCTTGCCCCCAGGCTGGGGAAGTTATGGGGGAGAGGGGCACCAGGGCTCCCCCAGCAGCCTGGCGGCATCTGCTGTGGCATGGGATAGGCCTGTTTTCCTTTCGGCTACCCCCAGACTCCAGCTCCCCTGTCCCCGGGGATATTGGGGTCTCTCCATCCACCACGTCCCCCGCCAACGGCTGCAGCCCCGTCCTCCTGCGAGACCCACGAACCTCCCACCCCTCCGTCTGCGTGAGCCCATAAGAGATTCCTTCCCCTGGCACGGTGCCTGGCAAATCTCTGAACCTTAGCAGCTGTTTAAAGACCCTGCAAAAGAAAACAGCTCCTTCGACACCCTGAAGCTCGGTGCAGACCCACAGCTGGGACAGCAAGGAGGGGAGCACGTGGCCTTTGCAAGGACAGGCGGGGGGGCCTGGTGTGGGGCTGGGGATGAGTCCCGCAGCTGTGCTGAACCCTGGCCAAAGGGGCGCTCCGGATCAACCGGTTCCTGGGGGGATAACGGGCTGCATGGCAGGACGGGGAGTGGAAGAGGGTGGCTCAGACATGAAGCTGCAAGTCCCATGCCCCGGCCTCCCACGTGGGCGGCTGGGGAAGGAAGTGCCGGAGATGGAAGAAATCAGTGGGGCCTTTCTCCAAACAGCCACGTGCAGCCTGGGGGGAGCCGGAGAAGCAAGGCATGGTACTAATACTGCAGTGCTGTGGGTTTGAGTCTCTGCCACTGACGCTCTGCATGACCTTGGCCAAGACACTTAGCACGAGGGAATTCCCAGGCAGGATGGAGGTGCTCATCCCCGCTGGATAGGAGTGGGATCCTATGCACACCCAGCACCCATTGGGATGCTTCTGCGGCTTGTCACGAAAACCTGGCGAAACCCAGCAGCCCGGGCACAGGTTTGAGGAGCAAGACCGTGAGCCCCAGGGGGTGAGACCCCGAGCCACTGGACAGCCGTTCCCTGCCCTGTACCCAGGGTACTGCAGCTCAGATCTGCCCCGTGGCTGAGGAGCCAGGTCGGGGGTGCCAGCTGCGGGGGCAGAAGGGGAAGCTGGGAGCACCCCATGGCAGTGCCCTGCTCTGTGCCCTGGAGGAGGCTCCGTGGCCTCTGGCGCCTCCTGGTGAGTTTGTTCTGTTCCTTCCTGCAGCTCCTGCTCTTGCGTAGGTCTGTGGAGCGAGGGGCAACTCCTGGTCCGGCTGCAGCCCAGCGATGCCCCCTCCTTCACACGCCCAGCGGGGCAGGACGTCAGCTTCAAGGGGCGCTGATCACCACCCACGCTGGGCTGAAGGAGGGACTCTCCATCTGCTCCTGGCAGTTTAGGGCCCGTGACCTGCAGTTCTGATCCCGTTCTGCCGTGGACAGGGGCTGGGGTCTGTGCCCCAGGAGCCAGGCCTTGGACGCCGCGGCGTGTTGATGCTCTTCCGAGTGGTCGTTCTGCGAATGGCAATCTCCCCCGTTAAAAATGCACGGGGCCGGGAGACTTGCACCGCAGGGCGTCTCGGGAACGCAGCCCAGCAGCCGTGAAGGGAGGTGGCAGGGGCTCAGGTCCTTGAGAGTCCCACCCTTACCCCCATTCTGCAGACCTGGAAACAGAGGCGGGAGACTGAACTCACGCAAGGGGATGGCGATTACATTTTGAAAACCCACTGGACCGCATTATAAATCGGATTCGAGATTTGATATTTATTTGAACGAATGCCCCAACCTTTATTTCCTGGGTAACTCTCAGCATCTCCGGGAGATTTATATCTAATTCCTGGCATCATCCAGCCCCGAATGATGCCGTGCTAAGCTACGTCCATGCAGTGCCGGATGATGCCACACTGCAGCCCTAAGCTATGTCCAGCTTAAAAAGCTCTGTGCGATGAAAAGAATCCACGGACATGGATTTTCACAACGTTTTAAGATGAATTCTTGTTCTTTCAGCAATGTATTTGGCAGCCGTGTTGGACAAAAAGAGATGCAAAAAATCTAGACCGTTCCCAAATGATCCCTTTTATTAGACCCGCTGAGAAATGGCAACAAAATATTGCAAAAAATAAAGAAATAAATAAAAAGGATCATTTTGGAACCAACTTTTGCATCTCTTTTTTGCATCTCAAATTGATGAAGAATAGCTGTGCAATAATATGTATATTTTTGCAATATGAGAATGGCAATGAAATGTTTTAGTTTGTGTTTTTTTTCTTGTTTGGACGCCCCTCCTATCGTGAGTCCCCCCGCTTTCAGTAGCTAATCAATCTGGCACCGCCCCAAGTCAGGCCGCAGGACCCAGCGTACTACAACTCCCAGCAGGCTGCGCGAGCACCTCTCCCAGCAGCCCTCTCGCGCGGGGCCGGGGAGGCACGGCCTACAGCTCCCGCCGTGCCCCGCGGCGGGGCTTGGCACCGCCCCATCAGCCCCCGCGCGCGAGGCCCCCCCTCCCCCCTCGGGGGGCTGTCCGCGTGGTGCCTGCAGGCCGCGCCGGGGCGATGCTGGAGGAGGCGGGCGAGGTGCTGGAGTCGGTGCTGAAGGCCTCGTGCCTCCCGCTCAGCGTCCTGCTCGTGCTGCCCGCGCTGCTGCTGCTGCTGCTCGGGCCGCCCCCC